CCTTCCACTCTCTGTCCCTCCCCGGGGCACCATGTAATTCACACCATGCTGAATCCTGAGCAAAGAGAGGGCATGCTGGAGAGCCAGTTGCTTCACCACAGTGTTTTCAGGTAGCATTTTACGCATAGCCCTTATTGTGAAGTTTGCAGTATGCCATGCAAAGTGCTAACACCGATGACACCCAATTCTGTCCTTAGGTTCCTATGGCCTTTCCTTTTGCTGGCATTTCCAATTTTCTTGCAGCTATTTCTGCTCGGAGGCAGCTGTTGCTGTCATGGAGAGCAGTATTCAATGGAATCATTCACAAACATGACTGATGCTAGTGGAACTCTGCCAGCCTGTGCATTGCACTGTTGCAAATGGTTGTGCAAACAGTTTCGTGGCCGTTGGCACCACTGGTTGCACAGTCACAATTGCACAGCTATAGCTTTTGTTGGATGCCCCTTTTGAGCACAGCTTGCACAGACCACCGCAACATCACTGTGCTAGCAGAATGAAACAGTTGGGTGCTGCCCTGGAATACGCAAGAGGCAGACCTCCTCCACCCCATTGTTCCCAGACTCTTTCGCCTCCTATTTCTCGTTCAGTTGGTAGCATGGCTCTTTCGGGTTTTCCTCTCAGAGCCAAGGTCTGCATTTGATCTTCCTGCATTTTTTCTCTTGTCCTCTTACTGTCCCAGCTCAGGTCTGTCAGTTCTCTCTCAAAGTGTCCTTATCTTGCGATTACAGTAAAACTGTTCTCTCCAATATATTTTGGATTGGACCACATGTTCCTTTTTCCTGATGAAAGGATGCTTTTTTCCATTGGAAAGGGTTCCTTCAGCTAGAAGAAAGGAACCTTCAGTTCCACCATTTATCTCTGTTCTCAACATTTCTGCTCCCTTTTGGCTGCACTTCCACTGTGCTGCTCCTCTGTGTGTCTCCGTTGCTGCTTCTGTTGTCCCATATGAAGCACAGACTTCTGCTTTGATGCTAAAGTCCCTTTATAGTTTTGTCCTGCTTTGCTTAGCTTCACTGCTTTGTTCTTGCTGGTCTTTCTATTAACCGAATACAAATCATCTTAGCAAACCTGCTGTCCTTTGTGCTATTCCCAGTCCTATGCTTTCTTTGTCATGGCCTCTTATGTGTGAGACTTGTCCCTTATTAGTTGCCCAGGCATTTCAGTACATCGAATCATTATTTTAATTGCTATTTTATGTTACAGCCTGGTTTAATTGCTGGTTGTTGCTGTTTTATATTTTACTGTTTCATTTTTATTGTATAGTTTTACACTTATAATTGTGTGTTGCCTTGCAAGCTTATGCAGAAGGGTGATTATTTATAAAGAAATAGATGTTTGTCTTTGTCCTCCTGTATGTGCTCATGTCTCCTCTCTTGCATTTCTCTCTTGATGAGGTTCTGATTCCTTTCATGCTTTCCTACTGGTAGGTTAACTGTTGCATAGGTTTTGTTGTAAGCCTTTAGTCTTGCCTAGCAAATGCAAAGTTTTTCATTCTCCCTCCAACTCTGTCTCATTTTTTAAAAAAATTGTGAACTTTGCAGGCATGGACTTGTGCTTTGTATTTACGTGCAGAGCCCTAAACTACTTCTGTGGCTCCAATAAATAATAGGATCGTGATGTTCTCAACCTGTGGCTTGGCTTCATTGCCACTGCTGTCCGGCATAGGATTAATGCTACAGGAACAACTAGGACTGAAACAGGAATGATATCCTTCACTTCACCATTTGTTGGAATGGTTATGTTCCCAATTCTTCTGCTGAAAGTAAAAGCATGATAAGGACAATAGTACAAAAATTGCTTACACACAGCAGATGCCATTGCGAAGGAAGTAGCAATCTCCCAGAACTCACATTTACTGTTTAAAAGCCAATAAGCTTTTAAATATGAGCTGCTATATGTATATGTGCCATTGCCTAGAGAAAATGTTCAAAAGACTGCAAAGGAGGAAAAGGTTGAAATGATGCATTTATTATTCTTATCGCATTGCTGTCTTGTAAAGAACCCGGGGAAGCCCTTGTCTCCATTTTATCCTCTTATCAAGCCTGTGTAGTTGTCAGCAACTGCTCCAAGGCCCACTGTGTTTCATGGCCAAGTGGGGAAGAGAAACTGGATCTCCCAAGTCCCAGCCCAGCACTCTAGTCGCTGTGCCACACTGGCTTTTCATACCTAATTTCTCTCTTTGTATACAGTGGAATGAGAGCATATGCAAGGGGCAGGGCAGCTTCCCCCAGCCTGTAGTCGGATGTGCTCGATGGCAACTCTTACCATTCCCAGCCAATGTTCTGGCTGGATATGATGGGGGCTGTAGTGCCATACATCTGAAGGACAGTAAGCTGGGGAAAGGTGGTGCAGCACAAGTGGGTAAGATAACTTGGTAAGCCAGTCTGTACTCCAAGGATCTTGTAAAAATCCTACTTCAAAAATTAAAATGCATTTAAACATCTGCAGGCCCTTATACACTCATGGTTTTGTCAGCCTGCTTTTCTGGCCTGATGGGTATCTAACTTTAGTGATCATCCCACCAGAAGTGAATAATCAGGGGAAATTTTGCAATATTTTAAAAATTGCAATACAAGCTAGAGGCAGTTTCTGATGTGCCCTGAAGTAGATAGAACATGTGGCACTGCTATTAAAGCCTTTCTTTGTACATTTTCCACACTTTCCCACCTCTATACACTCCCACACACACCTAATAGGTAAAGAACCCAAGAAGGGTCCTGCTGCACCAAAGCAAGGTCCCTCTAGGCCAGCATGCTGCTCACACAGCTGCCTGTTGGAGACCTACAGAAGTACAGAAGTGAGTGCCAATGCATCCCCCCCCACCCCCAGCACATGGTCCCAGCAGCTGGAGTGCCCAGGCATAATGCATTTGATATCGAAGGTATCATGTAGCCATCAGCTCCCATAGTCATTGATAGGCTTCTCCAGGAATTTGTCCAATCTTTTAAAGCCAACCACATTGGTGGTACCACTACAACTTGTGGCAGTAAATTCCATAGTGCTTAATGCATGGTGCAAGGAAGCCTCCCTTTTATCTATCCTGAATCTCCCACCACTCCGCTTCATGAGATTTTCTATCATTCTCCCTTTTATTTACTTCTCTTGCTTGAGTCACTGTAGCTTGCTTGCAAATTTGGGAAAGGGAGAATTTACTGAGTGGCAGCTTCTTCACTGAATACATATATCCACTTGGTAACCTGTTTTTCTTTTTATCTTCTCAGAGGGCAAAGCGAATGTTACGATCCTTCGGGGGGGGGGGGGGGGGGCTGCCTTTAGGTTTGATGGATTTGCTTTGTTGCTGCTGTTTTTACTAAATGTGCCTGGTGCAGATGAAATACCTGTAGCATTAAAGAATTCTAAGTTCAGGAATTTTTCAGTGCCAGAACTATATAGTGCTCACAGTCTGTGCACATGCAAAAGTCCATTCCTGGTTATCCCAAAGTTTCTTAATTTCAACAAAATAATTGGGGAAGGGCGAGTCATTTTGTTGTGGCTTTTGGTGAAAGAATTGAGAATGAGAAAACTTGGCCAATCCTTGCTATTCACCCAGAAAGCTACCAAGAAATCCACATTTATCTTCTGCCTACCCTGCCATATATTGACTGCAGATGTGTGTGGAATTTGTTGTCCCTTTTATGGTGTCTCTTTAATGTTGCGAGGTATTAACACAATTATGCTCTCTTTGATTTTGAAGTGGTAATATGCTTCCCATTTCATTCAATTTCATTAAGTTGCATGTGGATGTTACCAATTTTGCACAAAGAAGAGCTATATAGCTTACAAAATTCTTGCAGACCCATCACAGGAAAAAAAGGTCTTCCTATATCTCATAAGCCAGACTGCATAGAGCAGCAGGTAAGGGACTAACTTTGTAGGACGGGTGCAGTATTTCAAACATAAAGTTTGGATACTGAACAGAACATTATACAGGACAGCTGTGTAGTGTGGATTATAAGCAACAAAATAATACATGCAAATAGACCTAACAGAACATAAAGGAAGGTCCAGAGGACTTTGTGGCATGTTGTTCGGTGTATTCATGAAGTCCTCCAGTGTGGACAAAGCGATGTACTTACAAATCAGGCATGCACAGCCTTTTTGACCCAAGGCTGACACTGGCACAGCGGGCATTTCCAGGCACACATCCCAGCCGTCCTGACAGAGATTGCTTTTTCTTGCAAAAGAGCAATGTGTGAGAGAATTGCTGGGGAAGAGGGAGGAGAGGAAGCTAGCAGCTGGCAGCAGCGCAGTGGAAATTCGGTGGCGGCTCCAAGTGGAGGGGTCAGAGCACCCATGAGAAGCCACCATGAAGGTCTTAAAGCCATAGGTGGCCTGCAAGGCAGGGGCTCAGGCACCCCCGTTATAGCCAGTAATTGTACAAGTCCATCATCTCATCCTCCAACTCGCTTGGTGCAATGGGTTGTTTGCAGGTTTAGTTATGTTTAAAGTAGAGGAGTGGGAATCAGAGGGTTTTAGTCATGACTAAATGGTCCCGTCTAAGTTCAGTGGGTCTCCTCTAAGCATGACTAAGATTAGATTTAACCTGATGTGTGTAGGTTGTGTATTGCCAGATGTCTGCTCACGATGGTGTAGAGAATGTAACGTGGGTGAGCGAGCCCGATCACAAATATAGCCACTGTCATTTTTGAGCTCAGTTTGTTGTGGCTTCTAATGACCTCCATGGACTGTTCTGTTCACTTTTCCACATGGATGGTGTCATTGGAACAGTGGGCTTTTTGACTGAAGCTGGTTTTCAAGGACAAACAAGCTCCCTGGATGTTCAGAATCACTCAGAATTGTGTTAAAACCATCAGAAAAGCATTGCCATTTTGTCTTGTTGTCTTGGAAAAAATGAAAAACAAATAATGAGAACAAGTTGCTTATATTTTGTTCTCTGGATTAGGTCTGCATCATGTATTATTTTTATGCCTCGGGCCGAATAAGATGTTGCTTCTTACTATCAATTGCATTTAAAAAACAACCTTCCTGCTCTTACACAGGCAGTTGGACGGGAGTTGCTGCTCCATTTGATAGACTTTTTTGTGACCCATGATCAGCATGATCCAGGCATTACAAGGCTCATTGATAGCACTCGGATTCACATCATGCCTTCCATGAACCCTGACGGATTTGAAGCCACAGATCCATTAGACTGTTACCCCATGGAAGGAAGGTAAGAATAATGCAAGGAAAGATAAGTTTCCTATAGACTTCTGAATTTCACATTGCAACCACCCAGAGAAAATGGGTTTCAGCTTCTGTCCCTGCCTACGGAGGGTTTAACCACAAGGAGTCTTTATGGGATATCGTCTGCTAGGGACTTCTCCTTTGCAGCTTGTGTGGTCCCTTGTTCAGGCAGCCTCATCAGTCTTGTTTCTCCATTCCTTGTTCCCCATGGCTGGCTGATCCCAACCTCCATTCAAGCATAATTTTCTCTGCCTGCCTGCAGCTTTGTTGTGTAGGAGGCAAGGGGATAAAACAAATCTCCCACTTTATTTTTCAAGCTTGGATTTTAAAGACTCAATTATTCCAGTCTGCATTGGTTAACTTTAGTGTATTGTGCTTTTGAGTAAGTTTTTTTTCCTGCTGCTTTGCTATTTTATTTGTGATGTTGAATAAAGAAACCCCAGTATACAAAGCACCTATTACATTGTTCAGATTAAGAGAAACTGATATCCTTGCAGAGTGAAGAACTCCGCAGAGAGTTTACGTGTCCAAGCCTGTACATGTTTAGACAGAAAAGGGTTCCACAACTTCCTGCAGTTATGTTGGCTCAGAAATGGTGGGGGGTTGTAAGACTTCTTTCTGTCTTAAACATACATAGGATTGTGCTTTAACCCCTACTAGAAGAGGCATGGTTCTTAAGCTTGCAATCCAAAACTACCATCCTAAACAAATTTATTTGAAAGTCTGTGTCAGTTCAAAACCTAAATGACATTAATTTTATCCCACTAAGGCACAATGCAAACAAAGAAGATCTGAACAGGAACTTCCCGGATGCCTTTGTCCGCAATAATGCGACAGTGCAGCCAGAGACACGAGCAGTGATGGACTGGATTAAAAAGGAGACGTTTGTCCTCTCTGCTAATCTGCATGGTGGATCCCTGGTTGCAAGCTACCCTTTCGATAATGGCAACTCAGGTTTGTGAATGCTTGTGTCTGGGTGCATGTTTACTAAATTTATTGACAGCTAGTAGCAGGTGTTATATGCATCTGCAGGTACACCCACAGTCCTATCTATGGTACAAAGGAGGGTTAGGGAACCTGTTTGGGCTCATAGGCACATCTGGCAATTTGATAAACGGTCCTGGACACCCCCACACAATTACTTCTATGGAAGTAGTGGCTAAACACAGAGAAGTAACCTGCCCAAAATTCTTAGAAGAACCAGAGGCGAGTGCCTGCCCCACTAAAGAACTCCTTATTCATGCTCTTTGGAGGCAACAGAACCTATTTCACAGAAGGCACTCCCTTTGTTCCAATAGCAGCTGTCAGTATGAGCAGGTGTTAATTTTTGCAAAATTCAAAGTCGTAGCTACCTTGGTGTGCCCTAGGTATGTTGCATACTTCATATACATATTGAAGGCGTTTGGCCTTGTTCAATTACAGGGAGACATGCATACACGTGCAAGAGCACACACACCTATTCATCCTTCATTCCTGGCACCTGCATTGTGCTGTTCTGGCCAGCACATGAAGACTTTTTATTTCCCCAAGCTTTTCAGCCCTTTAGTTTTATTAATAGTGTTGGTGCATTTTTAGATTTTTGCACAGCTGCAGGCTTCACCTTCATTGCTACTTTGGTTTTATTCTGTTTTCAACGTCTGGTTTGTATGTCCTATTTTATATACTATTCTATTTCACCATTTGAAGATTTGTCTTGTATGCAGAGAAACTCATTTAATGGACAGCATAGAAATAATTGAATTAATAAAATTAAAATTTAAAATCCATTTGTTTACACACTTAGAACTCATCAATTCATTGCCTCACTTAATACCAGAGGTATCAAGATTAAGGGCTTTCAAAAAAGATAGGAAGTCACATTATATAGGTATGTGTGCATACATACATACATAGTGGAGAATTCTGAAAATTAATCTGGCGTTCACAACATGAAATCTGCCGTATAAGAGCAGTCAGAACTCCTATAGATAGCAAAGGGTGCGAACATCCTATTGAATGCAGGATGTGGTATTTCTCTCTCCAGTCAACTCAACTGTTTTTGGACTGATGGAGTGGGAATTTGCTATGGTGGATGGTCATGTAACTCTGAAAGTGTGAGAAGCCACGTGAAAAAGGCTTGTGGGGTTGAATACTCTCTCTGAGGGTTGGACCTCTCCCTCTGCCCACAGAAGGGGAGAGCTGAAAAACCATGTAGCCCTGGGATGCCCATATGGTGGTTTCAGCCCTCCTTGAACCGGAAAGGATTTCTAATGGAAACAGGAACTCCCCTATGTTTGTACATTAATGAAGTTTTCCTTGCAATCACCTTCTTTCTACAGTTACACTTACTTCATATCCCTTTAGCAAAACGCTGGATGATGATGTTTTTGTGCACCTTGCAAACACCTATGCTAGAAACCATGCCAGCATGTCTAAAGGGACTTCGTGTGATTATGCTGATGAATTTCCAGAAGGCATCACAAATGGGTATGCATGGTACCAGCTGGAAGGTGAGCATTTCCTCTGATTGTCTGAATCACCCAATCACTTCTGCCTCTTTGAATACTCTAAGCCAGGTGGGATGTGCTGATAAATCTCTGGGTAGTTTGCAGGGGATCAGCAAGATCGTCTCACTCCCTGTCATCTAACAATAGTGGAACAGAATGATTCTTCCCCAGGCCCCTCAGATCATGCCACCTAAAGGAAGAAAGCTTTGGGTAACCCAGAATGAATTTTTGTGTGAAAAGATTATGAGCTCAGCTAAATTCTGTTATTCAAAACATACCCCTTTGCTCATTCCACAGCAGCTCAGATGCTCCACATTCTTCAATTCTGTGTCTTCTGTACCTGGCTGCAGCTGGTGGATGTTATGCAGAGTAGATCCTGGAAGTCTGGGGTACTCCCTGATGCATAGGTGTTGTGCAGCTATGCTGTCTTTCCCGTTCCCATTCCCTTCCCTTCCCTTCCCTTCCCTTCCCTTCCCTTCCCTTCCCTTCCCCTATTGTTTATGATAGGAAAGCACAGGAGTAAAATGAAAGTTGTGGCCATCTGGAACCCCTGTGAAATCCTGCGGAGGAGGTCAGGTGCTTGAAGGATAAAAGCCCTATCTGGAGGCACCCCTGCAGTTTGCTTCCCCTTTTCCAGGGACTGCTCAACAAGTGACTTCATTTCAGGAACTCTTGTGGCAGCCTTAAGGAGTTTGAAATGCTTTATTTCCTTACATTTTTATGGATTAGAGATCAATAGGGTATCCTCTACTGGAACAATAGCCTGGTATAAATGCAGAAATAAACAGATGAGCTCTGAAGTTTGCAAGACCTTCCCTTAGCCAATGGAATACTCTGTGTGTGGGTTATGGTGGCAGTGGTGGAAGTGAGTTATGCTGTGCTAAGTGACAAACTCAGTTAGGTTCCAAAACTCCAGCCGACACATTATCTCCAGACTAACATTCTCTGTGGCTCTGAAAAGGAATATATCCAGCTTACTTTGGCTTATACCTGTTTTTGGGGCTCCCGCCCCTGCTGGCTGGGAGGTGGGCCCAAATAGCACAGCTGCAGGCATCACCCTCAGCACCACCACTCACCGCTCCACCACTTCTTAGCATGGATAAAGACACACATCCTGCTCAGGTGCAGCCCTGACCCAGGTACAAGCCTTAAGCACCGATTCTCTGCGTGTGGGCCTGCTGGCACAGCTCTCTCCCCACCCGTGCCTTCTTGGCTATCAGTCTTCCAGCAAGTTCTCATTTCCCAGCTTGCTTATAATTAGCTCATCTTCAGAATGACTCCAAGGGAATAGAAGCATTCTTGTGCATTAAAGAGTCACACATTCTCCAGAACAATTCCTAATTTTGTTTCTGTAGAAATGTAAGTTTCATGCTTTGTTTAAACAGGGGAGAATTTGGGGGACAGCCATATATAAATAGTTCCTGTGGGTGTCTAAATTATAAGCTGATGCTACTGCGCTGTAGGTTGCTGGATATAACATAGTTCAGTAACAATGCCTTGACACAGGCCCTGGAGGAAGCATCTAGCACAAGTCACGTCAAAAGGAATGGGACAACAGAAAAGCCTCCACATGTCCCTTGCACAACTCTTGTTCACAGTAATGGTGGTGGAGATACGGGCAGATTGTGCAGAATAAATGTGAGTTGCTCCCATTGCATGCAAATGGACCATTAAAGAAAGTTATCTTAGGGTTTGTTGCCAGTCTGCTTTAAAAAAGGGTATTTTCACCACTTCATTTGCAAAATGGGTTTATATGTGCAACTGTGTAGAGTGGAAGGAAAAACTGGATGGTGTTTCATGACACAAGCCACACTGGGTAGAAAGCTACACAATGTGGCCTGTTTCCTGACATGAGGTGCCAGACATCAGGGGTACTGGGGGTCACAAGTCACCTTCTCCCACCAGTATCCCAGAGGATGCTGCAGGAGCACTGAGAGGAGTGGAGCTGGAATAAGAGCTTCCTAAAGGTGCCCAAGCAGCACATTGAGGTGGCTGTCAGAAGCAACTCTGGACAGGCACAAGCCACCCCAGTCCAAGGTAGCTTGTCCCTTCCCCCTTCCTAGGTGCCACTTGGTGGAGGGAGCATTCATCTGTGCCTCCTCTTGGAGGCACCCATCCAAACATGGCTTCTGTCCCCCCTTTGCCCATCACCACAATCATACCCATGATGGGTCATTATGTAATCCAAACCCAGGTGCTCAGTCACATTATGGGTATGGGGAATCAGCTACTGTGGCACTGGTAAAAAACAGTAAAACCCCCTGACACTCTTGCCAAGTGGCAGCCAGGGGGCCATCAGTGCCAGCTGCCTCCGACATGCCCAGACAGTACTTGAGAGCAGCTGGCACTGGCTTCCCACCCTTTCCGCCACAATCATGAGCCATTTTGGATTCATGGCAGCTTTTTTTCATTTAGACTTTTTTTCTTTAGATTACCAACTCTTGTTACCGAGACAGCTTTCCTGATTCCTGCTATGACAGCTATGGGAAGCCCCTCCAAAATAGCACCTGGGAGGGGTTGCCAAGGATTGTCAAACATTTGGCTGACTTGCCAACCCATGGAAGATCGAGTAACTCTAGAACAATCCCGGACTTCTTGGTGTGCCTTGGTGATCACTCCAGGGGAAGTTGTTGGCCTGTGACTCCCATCATCCTTCACTACTGGCTCTGCTGACTAGGTCTGGTGCGGTGCAGTCCAACAGTACATAGAAGGCCTTATGCTCTCCGTCCCTGCATTACAGTCACCCATGCACTCTTCCAGGCCAAGGCAGCCACAGAAGCAATTGGCAACGATAGCCAGCAGCAGCAGAACATAATAGCTATCAAGACTAGGTGGCAAGGACGAACCTCAGTGGTGACAGTTGCAAGGCTGGTCCGTGCAGGGCTGGCTTTCCTGCAGACAAATTGCTCAGCCATTACGCACCAGAACTGCTTGCTCACAGGCCAAGCCTGCACCCACCAGGAGACACTGGCCCCCAAATGAGTACGGCAGCCGAGGAGGACATTACAGGAGACTCTGTAAAATGCTTGCTTCTTTCTTAGTGTCATTTCATCTGCAAAATTACACATTTATTTTAGGTGGGATGCAGGATTACAATTACATCTGGGGACAATGCTTTGAAATAACATTGGAATTATCTTGTTGTAAATATCCACCGAAAGACAAACTTTCATCCTTCTGGCATGACAATAAAGCTGCTTTGATCGAATATATTAAGCAAGTTCATCTAGGTAAGTCAATTCTGCTAAATTTTAGTCCATCAGACTTTGGTTCTACCATGCAGAATAAATTGCTAAAAAGACAAGTAATAGAACATGACTTGTGAATCTCACTTTTCCTTGACAGAATAGATCTTCATGCAGTGTAGTAATTGCTGGGGAGCGATCTCTCGGTCCATGCTCTTGCAAAGTTCATTTTTAAAAGATCAAAAGAGTTTATTCTGGAAAAAAAGAGACAATGTTATAGGAAACATTACTATTCTAGGATGCTCTGTTTCAGTAGCGCCACTGTCTTAATGTTACTGCATCCAAAGAAGGGTACAGGCCAGTGGTAACATTTCTTGGGGCCCAGTGGAAGTGAACGGGAGCAGTTTGTGTATGTGTGCATTGCATGAAGCAACAGTGCCCCCCGTGGTTTGCAAAGGGCAGCACTTACAAGCAGTGCGAGACTGTTTCATGCACTAGTGGCAGTAGATAAACAACAGTGCCTCGGTCCGGCTGATTCTGTTGTTACTTCTACATCCCATAGATATGGGTTCTGTCAAGTTCTGTTATTTTAAAACTAGACTTTGCATTTGGATATTGTCCTTTGGGATTCTGTATCTCACTGCCCCTTAACCAACTTCACTCTACAAACAACACACTTGATACTTAACACTTTCTTTTTTAAGGGCCAGGAACAGCCACGAGCTCTACACAAGAGCAATCCCAGTCTGCGGATATGGCTAGACCCTGGCACCCGCCATGATCCTCCCACTTGTGCATTCTTGCGATTCTGTGCAAGCCTACAGCAAACGTGCACAGGAATAAACCACAGCACAGAGAGAAAGCTCAGGCGTTCTGGGTTAAAATATAGGCGTTTTGTTTCAACCCGCTGAGCAAAGACTTTTGGTTCATTCTTTCTTCTTACAATTGCAGTGCATGAAATCAAGTGGAGTTGAGTGGTTCCCTCCCCCTCCTTTTTATCCTCACAGCAACCCTGTGAGTTAGCTTAAGCTGAGAGTGAGTGACTGGCCCAAAGTCAACCAGGGAGTTTCATGGCCAAGTAGAGACTACAACCCAGATCTCCTGGGTCGCAGACCAACACTCTTCACTCCTGTCACACACTGGATCTCCACGGAAATGTTCTGGGAGTGAGTGGGCAGGGTTGTTCTTGGGGTTTTCTCCATCTTTCAGCCTGTGTCCATTACTCTACTTGGACTAAATGGAGATGAATATACTTCTCCAGTAAAGTTTTATGAATCAGCCAAACAGTTCTTGTGGACAAAGTGCACATTATGCTTTAGCAGATGTTTCTAACATTCACCCCAGCAGGACTTTTCATCCCAAGGCTTCCATTCCCTTCTGAACAACATACAGCATGCCAGAGTAGGCACCCCACACACACAGGCCAGAATCACCAGTAAGGCAGATGCACACACACATCCCAACAGAAACCTTCTTTGGCCCATCCAAGAGGTTTTTTCTAAGCTGAAGTGCAGCATGAGCGTTGTTTCTTGCATGGGATCACAGTATGCAGGAGGAGGCAGTTTTGGGTTTGGGTTAGCAAGCTCTGTCCGAAAGCTTGGTGCTTCCCTAGTCAAGAGCAACAGTGGGGGCACAGGGTTATTACTAGATTGTGGTTAGCTATGCCAAAGGAAGCCCCACCTGCGCTGCTACACATCCTTAGCAGAAAGTAATGGTTTTCCAGTCATATCCTGAAGAACAAAGAAAATACTTTCTATCTCTGCTTTAACTTCCTTTTTGCCCACAGGTGTAAAAGGTCGTGTTTTGGATAAGAATGGGCAACCTATCCCTGATGCAATAGTGGAGGTTACAGGAAGGAGGCATGTATGTCCTTACAAAACCAATAGAGATGGAGAATACTACCTTCTTCTCCTGCCTGGAGTCTACACACTTAATGTAAGTTTTCTTGTTCAGCCCAATGAGCTGCTGTTCAGGGAAACATACCAGGATTTATAGAAGCCACTTCAACAGTCCATGGGCTATTCTGGGTCCAGCTCCAAATTCAGACAACCCACCTTCCTGTGGGTAGGGAGAGCCCCATGGCAAGTATGGTAAAACAAACAACAAACAAACAGGCCAGCAAGAGTACCAGTGGTTCCCCCAAAGTGCACAGGTAGCACTAGGAGGCAGCTGGCACAGGCTTTCCCCCTCCCCACTGCAAGGTGTTTCAGGTCTTAAACATTTTTTGTGTGTGGGGAGATCCTTGCTTGGAGAGATCTCTGTCTCCCCTTTAAACACGTTTTTCCAGAGATTCCAGTAGCACCAGCCTCTACCTTCCCAGCACAAAATTATGGACATTTAAGAAAACAAAAAAATTCAGTCCCATTCCCTAACAGCTCAGGTTTGAAGCCTTGGCTGGACCAATTCATGCTCCAAATCTACTCGCCTCCACCGTTGGTTCTTTTGATGGTTCACAGAAGGGCAAGTGGTCCAGAGAAACTAAAGGTGCAAGAGATTTTTGCTGAGAAGGAGCTGCTTGCTGAGATTGATGCCCCCTTTGAAGCACAAACATCGCTTCATTTTATGCTCTGCCCACTGGACGTTTGGCCCTTTGTCCAGAGCCAGGAAAGTGCAAATGTGCATTCCTCTGTCAAAAGATGGGCTACCTTTAAAAACAGGGCTTGGGTGGACCAAGGTAAGATTGGACTGTACATGATGCCTTTCATTGCATTATGAAGTAAGTTACATAAATACAGGCTGAACCTGGAAGGCCCTTATTCTCACAGCACATTCAGGGGTAGGTTAAAATGCCTCTGTGCTGGGGAGAAGTCACCACACATCACAATTTCAGTACTTAATACATCAGTGATGCTTCATGGTCATGCCAGTTTAAAATACCGCAGTGGGTTCCATCCCTTCTTTGGGTTCAAGCTGCCATTTTACTTTGTTGGAATAAAGGCAAGGATTTTGCCTATGGCAATAGGCACAATTTCACAAAGCATGCCACGAGAATATTTCTGTGTTGGAATTTCCAAGATCAAAAGGACAAGCTAAATAAAGTCAGTGTTAGTATTTCTCTGCTTTTAAAATGCAAAATCATTTCTTGTCCCACAACCTGCTTTTGTCAACCATCTCCGTAACAGGAATTTCCCTTAATGTTATACATGCATGTACATGTACATGCATGTCATTAGTCCTTCCAAAGATGTAGTGACAACTTGTAGCATAGCATCAGTTCAGATCTGTGCTGTGCTAAGACATCAGCGCTTGACATATAGTTTGGTACTGGAGCATGCATGCAGGCCAAAGGTCTGTAGCCTATCAGTGCAGCAGGGCTTGAAATACCTTTGTTGTTGTCAATCTGTGTGAATCAAAGGTAGAAGATAGCTTCATATATTGTGTCCACTGTGCATCTAAAAGTAGTGAGAGTCCAACTATTGACAAATTATACATATGTTCTCCTACTGGCCTTTAGGCAACAGTCCCTGGCTCTATGTCGCTGCTACAGAAAATTGATGTACCAAATGGCACAGAAAACTTCAGTGCACAGAAGTATGACTTTGTTTTCTCCAGTGTACCTACCAGAACTAAGTCATCTTCATGCCCTAGAAAGCCACTTTATTCTCCAGAATACCACGAAAATACATCAACCACACTGAAATCTATGAACTACTTGGTTTTAATTAATCTCTCATATGTTGTGTTGAGATAATGTAATTCTGGGAAGCTGATGATCAAAATTTGTCTACGCTAGACTGTTAGTCTTTAAAATGGGCTAGATTTTATTCCCTAGCAATAAATATTGATGGTTTCAATGCAATGCTCTATACCCTGCATCACTTTTTGAGGGGAAGGGAAAGTGAATATGTATGTGTATACTCCGGACTAGTAACTTTACATTTCTGAGACACCCATAACCCTCAAGATTCAAGAGGATTATGGGCATCCTATCATGGGCAGAGGGAGCACACAAGGAAGGATCACCTGTTTTTTCTATCCTGCAAATGACATAGACTGGCGATTACAGCCATCTAAATATGTTGCCCCAGCTCACAAGGATGAAAGACTGAACTGCTGTCAGGAAGTAGTGTAACTTCATTCATCCCTTTCCTGACATCCAGAAATACCTACAAACCTCCAGCATCAAGTCCTCCAATCCTAGAACTGCAGCCAGTGTAGGGAAAAGAGCCACATGGGAGTCCACCCCAAATTTGGAGTCCCAGCTCCAGCCTCAGAATGTGTGGCACTCCAACCTCTTCTGTGGCCATAATTGCAGGGCCCAGAAGCCACAGGACCATGCCCTAAATCTTTCAGAGGAACGCAGCCACCAATGCATCTGGACCAAGCGGTATTGCCCGCTGGTGTCTGTCAGTTGCATCATGTGTGCACTGAGGTGCAGAGATCGCAAGGTCCTTGTCAAAAGACCTTAAGGCTATCTATCTTCAGCACAGGATAATACTGCTAATAGTGGCTTTCAGGAGTCAAAGAAATGGAACAAGACAGACCTATGACAAGCAAGCACTTTTTCGTCTTGTCTGCGTCTTTTCTCTGCAGTGAAAATCAAATAAAACTAATCTCAGCATAAACATACTTGGTTAAGCTTTAATTATGGCTCTCCATCTGCTGCTGCCCTTGTGAAAATTTGCTGATGTGCACCCTGTGAACTGGTCTCTCTTTGCTCAGGAATTCCATACAATTCATTGGTAATATACAATAATTAGATTTTTACATTTAAACAGTTTAAATTGTCCACCACATGTGATACCATTCACACTCCAAACACAAGAACCAAAATCTAATGAAATCTAACAAAACCTACAAAAGCGTAATATGGAATACCTTCTGCAGCCTCTACTCCACATGCACCGCATCGCCTCTTTTGACTTTCCAAACACAGCATGTGACTAGGGACTCCCAACAACATACTGCTACAGTCTTCAAGTTGTTCAGAAGGAGAGTTTTAACAAAGAAAACGCTTTGTAGTTCTGATTCTAATATAGGGGGCCAGGGGAGAACTAGAGCCAGAGAAGATGAACCATCAACTCATAAATTTAGTGAAAAGTGGCAATTATTCTTCTATTTATACATTAAATATTGTACAGTATTGCATCTGTATAGGATCTAGTATTTATGAATTGCTCATTCTGGTTGTGTTAAATAAAAATTTACAACATTTTTTTTGCCATTCCTTATTATCCTGGCAAGTGTAGAATGCTGAATTTTACTAACACTGGGACCAAGAATATGCATTAAAAACTGCATTCTAATAAAAACAATTTTTCACATATTTGAGGACAAAACTTGACAAGCAAATCACTCCAATGTATAACTTCAACACAGAATAGCAGATATGGTGGGTATCCATCAATAACTCCTTTAGGCATATCAAAGGACTTTCCACACCATGCCTTATTCCCCACCATCCAGAGAACAGTTCATTATGAGAACACCTCTAAATGCCAGGTTTCAGGCATGAGCTTCCAACAAAGGGCCAGTGCTACTTTAACGCTAGGCATCCCAAGAGATTGGAAACAAAGCATGAGTTGCTCCCTGCTCAGCCCCTAATCTTTCCCCTCTTAATTCTCCTAACCATGGTTAAGCCATCAGCATCAGCTTCCATGGTTTGCTCATCACTTTCAAATGCTCATGCTGGCCAAACACCCCAGTGAACTGCAATGAGTGGAAAAAATGCTCAGGAAAGGGGAGGAGGATCACTCAAAATCCCATGACCTGCCCCCGATCTTTCCTTCCTATAAAAGTGCCTTAGTATAATATCTATAGTTGCTAAAGAGAGTAACTGCACACACAGTGTGCTACACAGCCGTTTGAATTGGAGCAGCTTTCATTAAGAGCATGCCATAGTCATCTCTAGCTTAAAATGTGATGGAAAAGATACCATTGCAGCTGTTTTTAAATGCTGCTATTCTAATTTCTGAATCCCTCATAAATACAAGCAGCTTTGCATTTCAATTTTTAACTCAGTTGATCTCAGGAATAAGAATTGCTATAAAATCTCACCACAAACATTAAGCTCACTCCTTTCAAGTCATTATATTCAGATATTCCTAGCTGTCTGGGTTAACTATACAAATACAACCAAAAAGGATTTTGAAAACATTATGATTAAGCCATCAACTATAGTGCAATGTTTTCATTAAAAGATCTTTTTTTTTTGGGAAAATCACATTTCAACAAACATTTGAAGTATTTTATTTGTGTCAGTCTATAGAAATCCTTAGAACAGTTCTGCTTGCACTGTAGCTAGCAAAAATAAGTTAGTAAGATCATCTCAATTGGTTGTCTGCAGACTGGACAGGGCTTGTTCCGCTTCTTTAGTTTTTTTGCACATGTGAAACATGACATGAGGTGTCCTGTCCTTCCATGTACTATGCAACCATTTTTAGGCCGGGTTTGGCATATAACACAGGGCTCAACACTGGAGATGGGTACATTGGATTCTGTGCTCTCTTCTTTGTCTTCAGGCTCGTCCTTCTCCGATTCTCTATATTCTTCTAGGCTGCTGCACAACATACTGCCAGATGTGGATGGCTGAGAATACACCCCACTTTCTTGAGATTCAGAACATTGTTCTGTGTCTACTGATTTATCTTCATTTATTTTCCCTTTCTTACAGTCAGGAACATCAAAGCCTTCCTCAGGATCTAGTGGCTTGGTGTTTTCAAGTATGTTCTTTTTTGACTCCTCTGTCTTCTTATCAGGTAGCCAGTCCTCCCGAAGAGCCCAGCATCTGGGGCAATGGCGGGGAAGGGGCGGATTCATTTCATTGCAGTTTGAGCATGTCCAGTAATCCTTTTGTGAATAAGATGTGAAATAGTTAGCATTCGTGAAACCAGGTTAAGAAAAAGCAAAGGCCAGGAATTATGCCTTTGCATGGAAAGCAAGTATTTCAGTCTGTAAGAAAGCCATTACTATATCCATAGTATTTGGGATGGGCTGGGGAAGGGGATAGAATGCACAGGTTGGTTAGGAGAGAAGGCAGTTCTCTCAGTCATCATAGTCATGCAGGTGTCTGCTGGCCATGGGGACTTTATGGATCCCAATGATGGTTGAGAGTACTGCAAGCAGTGTGTGTTCCCTTCCATCTGGCATATAGAAACATACTTGCACTAGTAGGTTGTTGGAGCCACTGGCAAAATGCTCAGGTTCTGAAACTGGCTGAGCTGAGGAAAATAGGTTTTGGCAGGCAAGATGCAGTATGATGGAAGATGGGAAGGTGCTTGCATATCAGGCATGAATAAAATGGCTGCAGGATTTTGACAGATAAAAGTGTGTTGTTACCCCTTATAATCCAATCCAGAGTTGAACCCTAGAACTGAAAATAGATTCTTTGGCTGGTCTCTCAGTTCTGCTGTAGAGTACTGATATGCACAGAGAAAACCATTTAGAGGTGATGGAAAAAATGAAGGCAGGCTTCATTGTAGAGATTTGAGTCAAGAGAAACCATTCGATAGGATTTCAAACCCGGAGAGGTCTTTATTCAGTGTGGACTCTAATGAACTCTGCAGCCAGACATACTCATTATTTCTGTATAGCCTAGGTTCTTTTCTCATTTGATAGCTGTTTGGGGGAAGAGGATAGCTCTGTGATCCTCCACTGCCCTGCTCATTGCATGAACGTAACAGCAAGGGTGTTGTTATTCTGGGAATGATGCTCATTCCTCATTTCATGGTCAGCTTCTTATGGATTGGCAGATGTACTTCTGCCCACCAACCCCAAGAACACACCCTTTCCTTGCTGTATGCATCTTTATTATCCTATTGATGCTACAACTGCTTGACAAATAGTACTATCAGTTACTGGATCACTGTGTACTTTCCCCCAGTTTTAGTGTCAAATGTAATTCATGGTTTAGTGTTTATCTGACTTCCTTGAGGGAAACTATGAGGCAGTAATTGGGTCCTAGGCAATGCCTGCTCACAGAATGCAGTTCTTGAACACTTCAGTTAGAGAACAGTGAGTAGCCTCTCCCTATAGCCCAACATATACTTTTTTTACTATCTTTGCTGCTTTTAAATCTGTCACTTTTAATTTTTTGAATAGTCCCAGAATAGTTTCCCAGAATAGTCCACACACTAGGTCCTACAATTTGTTCCAAGCCAGGAATGTACTTACAGCTAGTGAAATTTCAGGATCATCATCAAATGAATCCATATCACTGTCTTCAGTCTGATATATAGTGACTTGGTATATCTGATGAAAAAAAAAATTACTTCCAGCGAACTTAAAACTGATACAAAATGGAAATGGTAAGAACTCTAGAAGCAAAAGGCAAAACAGCTCGTTCCTTCATTTTGCTTTGAAGCATTATGTCCGTTCTATCTTTACCATCACCTGACTCATTAACGGCCTCATTGTAGATCCTCCCAGTTAGATATTGTGTTGGATCAATTGGAGTTTCAGCCAAATAGAATGACAACATTGCCTGTACTGGTAAGGAATGTATGCTCTAATGGAAGAGGTGTTTTTGATTTCTCCTGCTTCCAAACTTTTTTTTTGGGGGGGGAGGAGGGGGGACAAAGACGATTGTAAGGACTGCAGGAAATAGCAGCTCTAGAAGACAGACATGAAGCTGAATATTGCATTCAGTTCAGTCTCCACCACTTTCCTATGTTTGACCTTTTATTAGATAAACTGCATGTGTTTCCAAACCTCCCGTAGGATGATATCAAGTATGGAAAACAGATATACCGGAAACTGAGAATCACTCTTATTTCAAGGAGAGACCACAGACCAACAGTAGAGGATGCTGTATTTTAAAAATGCCAGGTTCAAGTCCTGGTTTCTCCAGCTAAAAGTGTATCATGGGGAAGCTCTCACAGTTTTCCCTTGTTGCTGCCAGTCATACTATGACTCAATTCAGTTTCGTACATTCACAGGTGGAATTCTAAACGTGCCACTCTAGGTAACACTTTCCCCATTGACATTCCAACTAGCTTTATTTATTTAAAGCATAAATCCCATGGTTTAAATACACATACCTCATCATCCTCATCTGTAAGCTCTAGTCCTTCTTCATTAGGGCCATAGTCTTCTGAATAGACAGATTCAACTTCAAACTCAACACTGAATTGATCCGAAACTGAATCATCATCTAACCAGTCTGAATTTTCACTTAATGAACTGGCATTATGATCCTGAAAGAAGCAAAGAGGCAATATGTGACACTGCTGTTCTGAATTGCTTTATTTTTTATTTCATTGTGACATCAAGGGCTTTATTCATGCATGCATGCACGCACATATTTATATGCTTCCTATAACTGCCAAAAGGCCTTCCCAGGCAGCTTAGAACCACATATTAAATATATTAAAACATATTAAACATGTATGTAAATAGCAACATGTTAATACCTATTAAAACAATTCAAAAATTAAAACATCAACATAATAATATAAAACGGCAACCCACATTCACAGGGCTAAGTGTTAATTTTTTTTAAAGGTATGTCTTCACCTGGCACCGAAAAGAAAACAAAGATAGCACCAGGTGAATTTCCCTAGGGAGGGAACTCCAAAGATGGGGAGCAGCAGAAAAGGCCCCTCTCTTATTTGGTACCCCTCCCACAGAAGGGCCTCCTGTGCTGATCTTAGGGGGCAGGTAGGTACCTTGAATTGGGTCCGGGACACAACTGGTAGCCAATGTAGTTCTTTCAGAACTGGCGTTATAGGGGCTGCTCTAGGAGTGCCAATCAGCAACTGAATGGCCCAATTTTGTACCAGTTGCAATTGCCAGACCATCTTCAAGGGCAGCCCCATGCAGAGCATATTAAAATAATCTGTTTTGCAAGTCCATAAAGAGAAAGTGATTTCTGTAAAATACATTACTACAAACACACAGAGAAATGTATTGCCTGATACAACCCCAAATACAATCAGAAATAAAGCCAGGGACAAAATTGTTATAGTATACTTCTGTGAAGCTAATTTCATTTTCCAACCAAAGCAGGAATTTTCTTACATTGAGGGAGGGAGGGAGGGATCTGAATATTAGCTCAAATAGCATCAGATTCTAGAATGCAGAAATATCTATTGCCACATGGGAGCAGCTTTGCTGCAGTGGCAACCTCTTGCAGCACAGGCAACTCATGCTGAAGGAGTGGACAAGAGAGTGGAGGAGCTGGAAGGAAGCTTGCCCTTACACCTGAAGTGATGAAATGCATATTACACCAATGGGAGATATATAAAAAGACACAAGAAAAGGATAGGTGCAGTTCTTAAAATACTGAGGACACAGTGGTGAAAGAAAGGCACAGCCTTTAATTCTCCTTATCATCTTAAAAAAAGCAAGAGCTTTCTTTTTCACATTAGAAAAGAGAGAAATCATTTTACAAACAGTTCCAAAATTGCATGTCCATGGAGCTATGAGCAGGCTGAGGGAGACATAAATTGGGTTTCAGCATCCGTTAAGTCATGGCATGAGCCAAGAGATGTGGGAACAGGTTGTTCTGCCACATGACATGGATGAAGGTCAACCCCAGATGAGAGGTCAGATAAGCAAGTCACGTGCACCTTCAGCTCACAATATGCTTTTTAACAGTTTTCTCACTTAGAATTTGTTCTGAAGCTGCTCCAGCCTTCTTCCCTTTGCCTCTTGATGCCTCAGCTGTACAGACTAAAAAGCCCATCTACCACTGCCTGCAGAGGGGGAAGAGCAGGGAGGCACCATTCCTCGTGCTCTGCAGGGGCTTATGGCATCCCCATTAAGATTGCAACCCAAGAAATGTTCTATTTCTTATTTATTACATTTATATACCACCCTACAGCCCATGGACTCCCTGGGCAGTTTACAAATAACAGACCTCCCCAACCCGATTACTAGTTCCAACATGTCTTTGTCATTGCAGTTCAACACATCTAGAATGCACCAGGTTGGGGATGCTCAGCCAAGACAAGCATTTGACACTTTTAAAAGAAAGCTATTCACAGATTTGCTACTTCAGAATAAAAAGTTGGATGTGAGACTGTTCTATTAGTTTTGGAGGGGGAAAGAAAAATACACAAAGAAAACAAGAAGTCACAGAGAGGACTAGACTGGATTCCCTTTTTTCTGAACTGCCACATTTTGTTTACATAGAAACATTCTGTGCAGCTAGCCCTTACTTGTTTTAACACACAATGAGCTTTTTGTTTAGGGCAACTATAAGGTATGGAAGAGATTTCTAGAAAATTACTTCCCGCACAGTATCTCTACTTACTGGACTTGATGGAGAATCTGCAGAAGTGCTGCTGTTGCTTCGATCGCTATATAAACCGCTTACTACACACCATGAAAGACTTTCATCAAATGTAAGAGAAATGCTATCTGATTTGTGCCGTTTTCTCTGTCTTTCATCATTCATGTCTTCTGAAGCACCTTCTGCAGAATGTCACACAAAAATACATTGCTCAAACGTTTTGTAATCCCTGATTTTATCTTGGGCCTTTATGTTCAGTCTCCCCTCCCTTTCTGTCATGGAATTCCTAAGCTTCAAAAGTAACAGGTGACACCAAGGGTTTTTCCCCCCAGCTGTGATGACCATTAGATTTTCATCCCCTATTTATTGGACAGCAAATCACCAGATAGTTCCCAAATGTAACTGAACGGCAAACCTCACAAAGGAGCAAGTGGCAACCAAAAGTATAAATGAAGCTAATTTACAGTGTAACCCTATACAAGGCTACTTAGCAGGCTCACATTTCAATGGGGCATACTGCCAGGTGAATGGGCACACCACTGAAACCTTATGTATCTGGGAAATCTTCCTTTTAAAAGAAGGGAGGTATGTTTGGAAAGAATTTATTTATTTATTTATGTGAGCTGTCCCGAGGCTATAAGCGGTGGGATGGCATACAAAAATTCTAAATAAATAAATAAAATAATAAATTTAAGAAGTCAGAAAGGGTTTCCAGTCAAGCCTTCAATAAGCAAGCAGAAGTATAACAATGATAACTTTACAGCAGTCCACATGTCACAATATTTATTTTATATTTAAACAACTGGCCTAAATGATTAGTTAAAATCCTCTTTAATGCAATTCAGGTTTTTTTTTTTCTTCAATAAGCCAAATTCAGCAGCGCAAAGTGATTCCTGGATATTATACTGTAAATTTCTATTCATCCTATCTGAAGCTGAATAAAGAAATAAAGTGAAGTTGCTTGTATCCCGATTAGCTAAAATGCTGATAACATATCATAGTCAATGGATCACTGTAAATTGCAACTGTGAATCTGAAGAACCAATGTAATACAGAACAAATCATGTTGATCTGGACACCAGAATCAGGGCTCCTTATCCCCAGCACTGCTATTTTATTTACTTCTGAGGTGTGGCAATAATTTATTTATTTATTTAAAACATTTCTATGCCACCCCCATCGCAACAAAGCCTCGGGTCGGCTCACAATGTAATTAAAAACATATAAATAACACTAAATACAATAAAGATTAAAAAGCCCAGTAACATCTTGGCTAAAAATTTAAAATTCTATAAATACATAATAAATTAACAATTAAAATAAGTTTTAAATAAAAAGGTCTTAGCCTGGCGCTGAAAAACAAATAACGACGGCGCCAGGCAGACCTTCTCTGGGGAGCGCATTCCATAGGTGGGGTGCCACCGCAGAGAAAGCCCTCCTCTGGGTACTCACCCTCCTAATCTTATTCACAGAGGGTTCCCAGAGAAGGGCATCTGTTGCCAATCTCAAGGGGCGGGAGGGCATATATGGACACAAGCGTTCCTTTAGATAACCAGGTCCCAAGCCGGGAGAAATGCAAACCTCCTTTACAATGCTTTTGTGACAAATAATTAACACTACACACTACAAAAAGACTGTAGGATTTAAAAATAACAAGATAGAAAGAACTGACACACCCCACAAATACCAAGTGCTGGTGTGAAAAGATCATAAGTGGCCAAGTAGATTTCTGTTTTGAAAAGTATTATTTATAAGATGAGACAGAATCTTTAATGAAGTTGAGGAATTTTTGAGGCACAGCACTTCTTTATAAAGGGTGAAAAACTATAATAAGTAATCAGGTGCTATGAGGAGGGTGCCATGCAGTCAAAAGAGGTGGAGAAATGAGACTAGAAGGGCTGCTGTGTAAATCTTTCTGAAGTTTGCATAATAAAAGCGCTGTAAGTACTGACGCTTGTGCAACAGAAGTTTCACTAACCGGTTTCGCTGTGTGCTCTCCTCCTAGAATTTGCTCCATTTGATTCTTGCACCAATTCCTGTTTAAGAATATTAAAGAAAAAAGTAAAACTCTACACGGGGATTATTGTTATTGTTCCAGATGTAACACTTGAAAAGAGTAGAAATATAAGATATACCATATAATTAAAATTACCTTTAGAGAATTTCCATTGTCTAGTTGGCATCTGGACTGATTCACAGATGTGTTAACATTATTAGAGTCTTCGAAAGAAATACATGTTGGGAGTCAGAGAGGGATGGAGGGTGGCTCAAATATATATTTAAGAATTGTAGTTCTGTAAATATGAATTTCTCAAAAATCCTAATTAAGTAATAAATGTTTAGGCAATTCAACAGCTGAAACAATGTATTAACCTATATAAGAAGATTGATCAAACATATACTTGTTACCCTGTATGGATTAGAACTTCAGAATCTATTCCCTATTCATAATGCAAAAATTGTAGAGAACTTATGTTCAGAGCATCTGGGATGGAAAGGAATGTGGCTATCAGGTGTGCCACACTTGTGCATGTGTGACTCAAATGACATTTATACAGTATCAGACAGACACATTCTGGAAACTTGTATCTATCCAGACACTGGGGATGTATGCGACTTCAATTCTTGCTATTTTTTTTAGAAGCGGAATCTTACTTCTCTCAACCCCATACTCGGATAAATCAGATTTCAAAACACTACCTATTCTCAATACACAGATGTAGCACATAGCTACTTAGAATTTCCTAGCAAACAGGTATCCCAACCGTAATTTGCTTTATGTAGGTTTGCACTGAAAGGGGCATGGGCCACCTCATAATTCAAACAGATGCAAATGTCCTACCGATAAGCTAGAAATGAAGCAGGAAATTGCACCATCTCAAGCTGGTGATGGCCACATTTGCCTGTCATGCTAAACCACAGTGTAGCACGATGTGCGTAAGCAGGAACAAGCCTGAATAAGAGTTCAACTTGCACATTCCTGTAACCCTCTCTCCACACCATCAGGAGTTGGAAATGTTTGTTTTAGTTTGGTACTTGGCTCAATAAGCTATGGTTAATTCAGATAAGCCAGATTCAAGCTCTGCACTCAGAAAGTGACTTATTCTAAACTACCCATAATTAATACTAACCACAGTTATCAGTCTGGATGCAGGATAAAGCTAGCAATGGCAACTAGCCAGAATTTGGCTGCATATTACTTCTAGTAGCAGCAGCATGCCTCTGGATGCCAGTTGCTGAAGAAACTAGCAGGAGGATGTTACTGCATTCGTGTCTGATTGTAAGCTTCCCATAAGCATTTAGCTGGCCTCTCTAAGGCTTTGGTCTGATGTTGCATAGCTCTTACATTCTTTACTAAAAGTTTGTCTACCCATGTGTGCAGGAAGAGAGGTGGAAGTGCAAGACTTGCTTATGCACATCATACTACAGCTTAATACTGTCTGAACCAGCTCACTGTTTTAAGCCCTTACTCCTGTACATTTTATATGCCTACTGGCAACAACTGGAGAGCTAGATTCACAACATATTCATCTAAGGTATCCCCTGTTTGCACTAGAATGTTAGCTACCCAAAAATAACACATTCTTATTGTAAAAAATTAGAAAATACTACATCTCTCTCCCGATCAATGATAAACAATATGTACGTCATTATAGACTTACCTTGCTGACTGACTGTGATCAGGTTTTTGGAAATCATCAAATATAACTGCCTTTTAAAAGAAAAAATATTCTTATGTTTTAAGGATATCAGACATTCATATTTATTATAAACTATTACTAAACAAAATAGACAATGCTAAAAGCTAATAGGATGCCTTCAGATTTGTAAAAATGGAAAATGGGATTAGTATCAGGTTGTTCTTCCAATGAACCTGCTCCTGTTACTATTAACAGTACAATTTCACAAAAAAGACAAAACTTTTGTTGTTTCTTGCCAGAAAAGTCCTTACCTAGTTATTTCAGGGTATTAAAAGCACATGTTTTTTTTTTCAATTGGCCTCTAATGGGCTTTTCTTCCTCCATATGCTTTTAACCTTTTGATAGGCTGTACAGATAGTTCTTACTCTTTATAGTTTCCAGTCCTAAATCATTAACATAGGCCAAAGTAACCATTTCATGCCAACTATTAAGGGTCATGCTCTACTTAAATTTAGTCCCAGTGGTAAAGCTGGAGTAACTAGAAACCCCATCCTGATTCAGCATACAAGATGCTCCTAGGATGCTGCCAAAGGAAGGATATGCACCTTCCAAAGGATCTTGGGTAAATCACAACAGGGTTGTTTTGCTCGAGACAAGGCTGAGGAGCACCATATCAATGAATAGAAAAAGCTTTAAGGACACAATCCTACTGAGATGAGTGTGAGCCTCCAATCTGGATGCAGAGTAGGATAAATGCTGAAGGCAATCTTTGGAGAAAATTCTCCCTGCTCTGCATTTTACTAGACAGACATTTTCAGCCATCTAGCAAATGAGGAAGGGAACAAGACTGGAGTGGCTACAAGCCCTCATATCCTGTTGTCTTGGTCTCTACTTCTACCACCCCTAAAGACCTCTTTACCCCCTCTCTAAGGGTGCTTTTCATACTTTAGAGACCAGCTGGTACGGTTCCTTCAGAAGTGGGTGTGAGGGAGAAGGGGAATGGATTACAGCCCCACACTACCAGAAAGCTGAACTATTCTCATTGTAGTCGTAATCATATAAACAGACCCGCACAGAGCATCAAATTACACTATTTCCAAAAGAAAATTGTAGCCTTTTTGCTTGCAGACATTAGCTGTATCACCTATAATGTATAACTACTGAAGTCACCATTGCTGAAACAAAAAGATTATAGTTAACTTCAGTAAAAACACTCAAGTAAGTTTACTACCATATGCACACATCTGTCATGTATCAACATGCCAAATGCCAACAAAGCTGCCAACTCTCATGTAACTCAGCATTAATACTGCGTTACAAGAATATTTTACCTGTGTTCTTTTACTGAAAAGCTCTGCACTCCAAAAAGATCACCCAGAAGATCATTTGCACAGTGGACAATATGCTGCTGCTTTTCATCATACAGATGTTTAGACATAATATACTGCCCAATATAGAAGAGTATCTGTAACAAAGATTACAGGATCAACATAGAATTTTTTAATTTATTGCATGATAGCTCACAACACCCTTGTGTTTTATACTGAAAACCAGTTTCCAATATACCATTATGTCCTGGCAGGACCAAAAAACTAGATTATATAGATAAAGAGCCAGAGGAACTGCAAATAGCATATAGATAGGTACTTCAACCTCCCAAGGTTTCTTGCAGTTTAAGTGTAGCATCTACGCACTCACACATATTTTTATAATGATGATAATTCTGCTGGTTTTTAAGATTCCTAGAATAATTATTTGCATTTACACTTCTGCAACACTTTACTTAAGTTCTATACACCTATTTTGAAGTTATGAAACCTTACTGAAGGATGAAACAAAGCACTGAAAATTGAAAAGCTAGGAAAACATCCTGTCCTTGCATACAATTACAGCAAAGGTGTATTCACAACCCACTTCTCATGACAAGGAAGACAACTGTTGTTTTAATGGAATCAAGGTTTGGTTCAGTACATGGAAAATAAACTTCAAGTGGTACATATTGACTCCTCCCCGTATTTACTTGAATAATTGTGACCTACCTCCTTCATGGTAAAAGTATCTTTTTGTGCACCGACAAACTTTAAAAGTTTTAACAGCAATGGCTTAGGTTTAACCTGCAAATAGAAGTAAAGACTGTTAATTGTAATTGCATAAGCAATAAACATTTCAGAAACTAAGGATCCAGTCCAGCAGGTTTTTAACATGTCTAAACTCAACTACAAAAATAACAATGACAAATGCTTCATATTAATATTTTTTAAAGAGCACAGATATGCTCTCAAAAGTTAAAGCCTTAATATCAGAAAGGGAAAAGGCAATTCTACAACTAAAGGATTAGGGTGTATTTACACAATCTTTCCTTACCACCTTGATTAAATTCCTGCCCAGGTGGCAAAGAAATGGTTATTAATTTATTTAATTTAAAAATTTTATACTCCCTTTTTCACTAAGATGGTCTCCAAATGTCTTTTATTATCTTAAAAGTAAAATCAGCAATGTACCAGAGTTTAAAAATTCACATAACATAAAACTGAGAAAACACCATAACCAATATAACAGAATCATATGCAGGAACAATATCAAACACCTATCAAACTAGACTTTCATGAACAGAAGCTATCTTTTAATTAGCCAACTAACTGAAGAAATACAGTGTTGCAATTTCATTGGCTTTACTCTGAACAGCATTCCACATGGTGGATGCCACTACTAAAAAGGCCCTGAATGCTCTCTCTAGGTTTATATATGCTACACATTCTTTCAATATGCACACAGTTACAGTTTATGCACTGTCTTCCAACCCAGGTAAAGAATAGAGCAAATTGTTCCTTTATGCAAACAAATGTAAGCGCTAGGGCAAACTTATAACCAGCCCAGGGGTGGGGTGGAATCTTAAGTCAATGCAGGCCTGCCAAATACTAAAAATTAAGTATTTTTGTTCTAAATATAGAAAGTGACAAGTGGTGACAAATCACACTAGTATATCTACAAACTCTACCAATAACACTGGAATACAAGATAAGTAGGGGAAATTGAGTTAAAGACTACCTTCATTATCTTTCTTTAGAGATTTCTATAAGGAAAACAGACTTTCTGCCTATAGGCCACAGGTGGGCGCACCAGTTCCTAGCCCACCTGGACAAGATCCTCAACATCCCCTGTGCCCATACTTCATGCCTGAAGAAACACAGAAAGTATAAAACTCTAAGTAGTCTGCACCTTCTCTGACAGGATATGCAGTCTATGGGCACAGATTAGGATGTCAATTATCCAGTTTGCATTCCAGCTCCACTTTCCCCTTGTACAGTTCAGGGTTATCTATTTCCCTTTTTAGCTTCATAAGATGGGGGGCTTACCCAAGATCAGGCAGCACACACTTCACACGTTTAAAAGACATTTCAACGGGGGGGGGGGGTGTCTCCATGCGATTAACGATGCAATCCACACTGCATGCCTACTCAAGCATAACCACCCTTTAAGTCAATGGAGTTTACTCCCAGGTATATAAGCGTTAGAGTGCAACTTAAGTTTCTATGGGTCTTTAGGCTGATAATCTGTCTAAATGATCTTACAGAACACGTTGGAGACTGGCAGTCCTCCTATTCCAACAGCCATTCGCGGTCTCGTATCAGAAAGGTAATATAATTTAACATATCTAGAGCTGTGAGCAATGTCTCTGCGAGCCTAGAAAACTAGCTGTGAGCAATGTCTCTGCGAGCCTAGAAAACGAAGATTTTTTTTAAGGTAGTCCAGCAGTTCCCCATATACTAACCAACGCTTCTTGATCTGTACGGCTGATGCCAGAAGTGCCCGCAGCCGGCTGGTCAGTAACAGAAGCCATTTTGGTATTGCACATTTGCCCTGTTGGGAAGGAAGAAAAGCAAATTCAATACGAAAAAGCGTGTGCGAGTTTTAGAGCGGGGCTGCTGCGTGCGGCAGAGTCCCTGTCCTGATACAGAGCTCGCCGGGCAGCAAGGTGGCCTCCCCGCTTCCTCACCCAAGATAGCCGTAGTTCTGGACACAGCGAACCGAAAACGATCTGCCGCGCTTAAGCCAGGATCGAGTATAAATAGCGTCGCCCGTGCACGGGCAAGTCTGGACGTAACTCCTCCATTAACTTCGGCCTAACATGCCCGAACATGATCCGCGGAGACGCGGTAACCGACGCTGAGTCAACAACGAGGCGCCACGCTGGGAGGGACCAGGGAAGACGGAGGTCGGCCTCCTGCCCCTTCGCCGCCTGTTCCCGAAAGGCTGGGAAAGAGGCTCTCGGCATCCTGCAGCTCGGAGCCCCACGCCCTATTTTTTTTTTTTTTTCCCGCCCGCCGTGTGTCATCCGCACGCACCTCGTTTTAGGAACAGGACGCCTCTTCCGAACGGCCGCGACCGGATTTCAGGCCAAGCGCCGCCATTTCGGGCGCGCCACGCCGAGGCTGGCGCTAGGCCTCTCCCGTCCCTTCCGGGCCTCTTTGGCGCCCCCAGCCGTGCGGCTCCCGGAGCCCCGTCTGCAGCCGGCTTCCCTGCAGCGTGTCTCTCGGCAGGTCTTCAATCGCCCTCTCAGTGAGGAGGAGCGGGAGGAGGAGCGCTTTTGCTGCCAGGACTCGGCGCTTTTTCCGTATGCGTTTAGTTGACTTTTAAAGCTTCTGTTTAATCCAATCCTTCGCGTGTTTACTCAGGAGAAAGCCCCACTGGCCTCACTCCCAAGTGCTTATGTGTACCATGGAACAGTGGTGGTGAATGCTTTGGCCCTTCAGATTTTGTTAAGACTACATCGCCCATTAGCCCTAGGCAGCGTAGTCAATAGCGAGTGATGGGAATTGCATTCCGATGTGTGGAGGGTCATCACGTTTCCTCTCTCAGGAAGTATATAGGGCACTGTTCTCTAATTAGCTTATTAAAGAACTTATTTAATACTACGGCTGGATGTGTGTTAAGGGAGAGCTTGTACATTGGACTAACTCCTAACTGGCAATGTGTCAGTTCTCCCCTTACCCCTTCCTAAATGAGAAATGGACCTGTCAAAGCAACGTTTGCCAACTTGGTTCCCCGTGGAATATGGGCTTAAGTTTCTATCAGCCTATTCGGTAGCCGAGAATGCTGGGACTTGTAGTCTAAAGTGTCTCCAGGATCTCAGATTGTGGCTGCCACAACAAAGGTTGAATGGATTAAGATGAGGGACAAAGGGGATGGGGCTCAGGGCAGCCTAAAGTAGCATAGTGAGAACAAGTTTCCTGATCAGATCAGGATGCCCCATCTTAAGAGTTTAACACTTGTCCATTTAAGGCTTTTGCAGCCACAGGAACTTTGCTCATTTAGTCCCGACACCAGCCATTAAGTTGGGTGTGGTGGAACATGAATTAAGTTTCATGGAAACCATTTCCCATGGTATTTTATGGCTGGATTGGGAAAAACAGAGCGGGGGGGGGGAGATCTTCCTCTGCCAACCTGGCAGAACCTTGGGAGTTTGTTGTGCTGCTCCTCCCACAGGTGCTAGACAAGCAGCAAAATTGCACATGACGCCTACAATATATTGGTTGATCTTATGATAGACCTACAGGTCATGACATTGTGAGTTTTTGCAGAATATTTTGTATAAGTGTGCCCTTGTTGCATTGATCAGTTGATCAAGCTGTCAGATAGTCTATGAAATTATCTCATTCCCTTTTAAGGCTATCAGCGGCTGCTGGTCTTGATGGCCAAGATGGTATATCTTGGAATGCCAGCTGCTGTGGAACAGAATGAAAGGTCTCTTGTGCTCATAACTTGCTTGTACACTTCCTACAAGAATCGTGTTGGCTGCTATGGAAAATAGTATACTGGAGCAATACAACAGTGGAACCAGCTGCCTAGAGGTGGTGGGTACTCCCACACTGGAGACATTCAAAAAGAACCTGGACAGCCCTCTGAGTGGGATGGTGTAATGTAGTGTCCTGCAACAGCAGGGGGTTGGACTCAATGGCCTTCATGGCCCCTTCTAACTATTCTATGATTAGATAGGATTTTGGTTCTATGTTCTTATGAGGTTGATCTTTGCCTGGGCTTGCCCTCTACTGAACAGCAGCAGCATGGTAATGATGACCATTTCACTGAGGAATTTATAGTCACTCTTCAATGGATTGTACACACAACCAGTTAAACTCAAAATCCAAGAGCACACACATAAAATACATGACATATAAATGAATGGTTGGCATGTGTTGAAAGAAAGCTGATTTGTCCAAAGTGCTATTGGGCAAGAGGTGGGGAAGGTGCTCTTTGGCCCAGAAATGCTGGAAGAAAACAGTTCATCCCAATTCAGGGGATGAGCCAGTTGTGTAGTGGTTAAGAGTTTGGGACTGGGACTCAGACGATCTGGGTTCTAGTCCCCGCTCAGCCATGGAGCCAACTGGGTGACTTTGGGCCAGTCACAGACTCTCAGCCCAACCTACCTCACAGGGTTGTTGTTGTGGGGATAAGATGGAGGAGGAGAATGATGTAAGCTGTCTTGAGCCCTTTGTAGGAAAAAGGCAGGATATAAATTGAAATAATAAATTCCTTTGCTCCCATGAAAACATTCCTAGATAATACACTAGAAGTTTAAAATGTTGTCCCATAAATTTAATTAATTTGACTTCAGGATTCTAAGGAACAAGATAGTAAAATATTTATTGTATTGTGTGTAGTTGCAGACAAAATTCCCCCTTTAACAAATGGATAAAGTGATTATTATGGATTCTAAGGCTTTTGACCAATCAAATTATAATTGATTAAACTGAGCCCTCATTATTAGTTTTGTACTGGATTGTAAAGGATGCAATCATATACACTTGGAGTAAGCCTCACACTGGGAGTTGATTTTGAATAAACAAGTATAGGTTTGCACTGTAATTGTGCTACAATCAATGAAACTAAGAAACAAGTAGTATACTTCAAAGGGTAAAGGATGTTGATGTTCAGCAAAAACTGATCCCCCAGGATAGTGCTCTCAAAAGCAGGCTGTAGTTCACTTGCAAGGGGGCACTTTATGCATCATATGCAGCTATTATATCAAAGGTAGCATTAGTTGTGCATACGCACGCACACATGTGGTGCGATAGCAAAGACAGAAGAAATAATAGCTTGTTATTTGTAGCTGCTTAGAAAAAAAGATTTAAAACCTCTTCATGACTAATTTGCCATGAAATCCCTCAGAAATCATGTGGTGATGACTCGCATGCTTCTGCTTTTCATTTTTCAACTGGCAAATATTCTGTTGTTACCAGTATATTATATGGTTGGCTTGGACAGTTATAAAGAACACATTCTTCAAAGAGTAAATCCTTTCTGCAGGTATTTTATCAGTGGACCAAATATTATCATGTTTGATTTTTGTGTCCTGTTGTCTGTGAACTATAGACCATTTCACTTTCACACTTTTAAATAATTACATACACTTACAAATGATTACATGTATGATTACAAACACTTTGGCCTTTCCTTCTTCCTCCCCTTATATTTCATTATTCTGTAGGTCTTTCTCTCTGCACTTTTCATTCTTTTTGACTTGCTAAGTCATGAAATAAGCCTTGCTAAGTTGCTTCACTTGGAACAAGGAACTAAAGAAAATCATCCCAATAGAGAGAAGTACAATTCCATTAGATGGACATGTTCTACCATCAGCATCTTCCGTTTAATAATACACCTTGGAAATTGGAATCGCCTTTGACTTTTCAAATGTTCAGCTAGCTGAGGGAATCCATAGATTTCCTTTCTGTCTAGCTCCTTTCTCTCCTCACCTTTAAACCATAACCTGTAAATTTTAAATTGATTCTGAAAGATCAATTTTGATTCTGAAAGATAAGGTCAGGGTGGTCCTCCAGAAGTTTTGGTCTACAACTATCATACTTCATCACTGGTATGATTAATTAAAAGGAATGACTTTTATGGGCCTCTCCATTTCTTTGGTAATCAGTAATTATAGCTGACTAAGAATAGTAGTGGCTAAGGAACATTTTGTTAACATATTCCCTAGGGTTATTTCCATGCCCAGTATAAGTCATTCTGGCTGGCAGTAACATCTGTGCCAGCTCTTCTCAACTGACATGCTACAAATCTTAACTATAGGCCACAAAACAAAGTTTTTCCTGTTCCTTAAACAAAACTATCTGGACATCTCTGAAGGCTTACTATGCTAGCAGGATGGCTTTCAGCCACCTGAAGGTGTTTTCAAAGCCTAATTAGGAATCTCTAATTTCTATTCATGACCGTTTTTCCCATGCAGTGGAGGGCACCATCATGTTCCAATGTAGCAAAACTCAGGAAACCAATATTTAGGGTGGATGCCAGGAAGTACTTCCTGACGGCTAGGACCCCTAAGGTATGGAGTGGGCTTCCATGGAAGGTGGTTAAAGCCTCATCAGTGAGGGTGTTTTAGGATAGGCTGGACATGCACATGGTAGGCATGTCATGGGTGGAGCCAGCTGGAGCCAGGGTCAGACTAGATTGCCCAGGAGGCCCCTTCTGACTCACTCTGGTTCTATGTTTCTATCCTTTGCTTTTTCATGTTTTTAATCACTGATTCCCATGGATGGGGGGTGGGTACATGTTGCAGGATTGTGGCTGGAGAGGCAAGGGCAACATAATAGAAACTGGGCTCTCCTATGCCTGGGATTACATTTTTTTAAAATCCTGATCTGGCTATAAGCCACATTATATATGCAAAATGAAATTAGGCCCCAAGACTCAGTGCAGATAGATGGCCTGTTACAATCTCCTTTTGCTCACTAGGACATTAATTTCCCACTATGCACCAAGAGGTTTGATCTTGATGGCAAAAAAGCAAGCAGACTGAAATAATGCATCTGTTAACCTACAGCAGTCATCCAGAAAGACACAGCATATGGCTCACCTATATGATTTACTAGGGGAAAAGTACCTCTCTCTGAAACGAGTCTTCCTGGACCACTTTCTTGTCAGGCTGAGCAGGGGAATGTTAAGTTCCTCATCTATATTTAGCATAGCCTATCCTTATATTCTTGCAGCCTTTAGATGTTTTGGTCCACAATTGCCATCAACCCTTGACAGCATGGGGAAAAAAATCTGTCCTGTGTTTTCAGGACCTGGATGAATAAACTGCATTTATTATATATTTAAAAGTCTGTTTATTTTGGCAAAAAGAAAATGGGATTTTCCCAGTTTTAACTGACTTTAACAGCCTTTTGAATTTGTATCAGGTTGGAAATGCTAAGATTAATTGTGAAAATGGATTTCAGAGGGTTTTTGAGGACAAGATAATAAGTTATGTTACTTCTGGGATGCATGGCAAGAAGTTACAAAGTGTGAAAGAAGCCACAAGACCTTGAGAAAGTGCTGCCATAGCTAAATGTTCTACCAGGATAAACTGTATTTCCAGAACTACTTAGTTTCCAGTAAATGTGCTTAGACTGCAATCTTGTATCCACTTGCCTGGGAGTAAACCCCATTGAATTTGATAGGACTTACTTCTGAGTAGTCATGCATAGGACTGCACAGTGGATTTTCTTGTCAGCGCCAGGACAAAATGAGTCAAAGCTCTCCCATAATAGGGCTGCTGAAAGCCTGACACTGGAAGAGCAGTTTTAAACTTAAAGTAGACTTCCTGATCTGATCAAGAAACCATGTTGCAAGACTTGTTCTCTACTTACACCTTAGATATGCTAATATTTGCCTTTCCAAAAGTCATCTTTTTGCTTTATGTCTTAATCACATTCAGCCCTTCTCATGTGCTTCTAGCAAACCCTTAAGTAACTAATAGGTTCTGTGTAGCACATTGCAGCTCCATAGAAAATGTACCATAGCAACACAATGGCCTCATTTTGGAAGTGTTGCCATAGGAAACTGTATAATAGGTGCATATTACCTGAACTTAACCAATGCACACTCTTGTGATCTATAATGGAAGCATAAAACTGTACTGATACTGGACCAGTATTGAAGGGACACATAATCTTTACTTATATGACAGAAAAAATAACAGGTGATCAGAGATATTAATTCATGCATGGACAATCTTCCTAAAGTAACAAAAGGGGTTTAGGTCTTGGACATTTTCAAGAAATACTTTAAAAACAATTCTTTAAAAATTGCCATTTCCTGGAAAAACAGGAAAGCATTTGTTCACATGGCTTCAGCGTATCTGGAAGTGTTTCATCTCTGCTTAGCCACCACTCTTGCACTGCACCCAACCCAGCATATAGATAATGACATCACCTCCTCCTATGTCTGAACTGGCTGAGGCACTTTTTGCTTCCTCTTACAATCTCTGTATTATCTATGTTAACAGTAAGATAGGTTTGCCAGGTCTGTACTGTCATTATAGGGGGTTCAGAATTAACTTATCAGAATCAACTAGTTTTAAGATCTTCACCAATATGGAAGGGACTGCACAGAGCTGGGGGTGGGGGAACAAAAGATCACACACACAGTGTTGGCACAGTACCTGAACTGGTGTAACTGTTCAACCAGGAGAAGCAGCGAGAACCACTGGTTACCCAACAGGGAGATAAGAAGATAATAACAAGAGTGCTTGAAAGTATCTTCCACCCCAGTCAAGAGAATTATGAAGTCAATATGGGCAATCTACAGTAGTTTTCCTTCCACAAAGCCCAGCAGTGAATGAGACTGGCCAAATAACCCAGACAAATACGATAGGAGAGGTATGATTCTCTAGCTAAAATGTGGCAAATAGCTTGCACATTAGGCCCCAATTTCAACATATTCCAGAGGGAGCATGATGGTGGTTGTGGCCATGAAAAGGAAGAGAGATTATTGTAGGGGATATATGTAACAAGCCTTACATGTATTTCTTCTTCATATATTGGAAATACTTGTGCTGGGCAGTGAGACATGAAGGAATGTAGGCTGTCTGTTCTTTTTTATGAAAGCGACTTGTTTATCTTGAAGACAGAGCTCTAATTCAGCTGGGGTATGTTGTTCCACTGCACTATTCATGGTAACCATACAAGTAAAGCAAAGAGCAGAACAGAGCAGAGGTGTATGACTGTTTTCATACAATCTTGGAGAACAGCTATTAGTTTTGCCCTTTTCACATCTATTGCAATCCTAATTAGAAATTGCTAGTGATATTTTCTCAGTAAAGAATCAGGCTTTTATTCATGTTCTTCTAACTCATTCCAATACTGCTAATATTAATTGGTATCTTCTCCTTATGCCTTTCTAGATTGTTTCATTATGTGCTGTAGTTTAAGAAAAAAACAATGGCAGGGTTTCCCCAGTGCCCACACATTACATGGAGGGATGGCATCATACCATTGGCAATGGGTGGCCACTAGTATAGTGGTGAGAAATAAAATCGGTTTACTGAAAATTTCCATACTTTCCAAAGCGATCATGACATTTTCATGGTGAAGGTCAGATCCAGTAGTAAGGAAGCACATATAGCACTAGAAAAGCAATACTGCAACTATTTGCAGTACTGTTCTCTTAATGAAAGCAGCAGCAGCAGCAGCAGCAGCAGCAGCAACCACCAAGAAGGTCCAAAGCAACTGAGATTTTTTTCCATCCTGCTAGTAAGACAACTACTGCTTCAGAGAGTCCACAAGCAAGGCTAATACAAAGAACGATTTTATTCATAAGCAAAACCAAAAGGCTTTCCATAGAAAAAACTTCGTTTACTACAGGATATGAATATTTGGGTGGCATATATTTAAATAACCTTGTATATTTTATTTTACATTCATGTGACTAGGAAGAGCAAATCCAGTGCAGACTGCCATTTGGATCATTCTAACTGAATGCTATACATTCTTGCTGTACACTATATTTACATTACTATCTTACAACTGCCAACCATATTACAGCTGAGGAAGGAAATTTACTATTCTTTCCTGTATCTGAGAACATTTCAGTGGAAAGGAAAGAATACTCTGAACTGTGATTCTTGGTATATTGGTCTTCTTTATCCCTTCAGACACAAGACTGGCTTGCAGGAACATTGTAGCTTTCCGGTCCACACTGTGGTTGAAAGCAACATTGTGTTTTTATGCAAGCATCAGAATTAGTCTTTTGTTTTTAACTAAACAGATCGGTGTGATGTATTTACTTTTCAGAAAAGCTTGTGCACAGCACAAAATTAATGCAAATTGCTTTATCAGTGCACACTGAAACAATATGCACTTGAAAATCATGCTGTTCTGAACTTATTTGTCTGCAGCCTATTTTAATGCAAATCACAGATGGTTAACAATGTATTTAAAGCATTCTCAAGTTTGCATAATGCCTAAGATACAGCTGGTCATGAGATGGTCTATCATAATATTGACAAAAATTCCAAAACCATTATAAAATTGGTTATTGAAGGTATGTGGCTTTGGATGCAGTTAAACGGTTGACAACTGAATAATCAAGAAACAAAGATAGGGTGTACTGCACAAGTCACACACGTGAGATTGGCTTTTCTATACTGTGCTGCTCAAATCACTGAATGCATGGGATCCTAAGCCCATATCACAGGTATTAAGGGACACCTTGCTGGAGGAGGGAGACATCCAGTCCATTTTACAGGAGCTGCAGAATTTAATTATTTGTTCTTGTTCATATCACATTTTCCTATAGCTACATTGACGAAATTAAAAATATTGTATAGGCAGTATGTTAAGTTCTGCTTTTGGACATGCAAGTTTTTTTAAGCAAGCAAACTGTGTCATTCTTTTACTTTGTCAAATGAACAGTATAGCTTCCGAGGCAGAAGTTGCCTATCTTCCAAGCCAATTTCTCTCTGAAAGCACCATGCTCTAGCTTTACACAGACAGCATATACAGTTGCAGTCTTCAGTCAGAACTAGCATCTGTACAGTAAAGGCACACAGTTCCACATCACTCTTGCTTTACAGGATGCCAGGATATACAAAGAAACAAAAACTGCTAAGTTTTTTTGAGACATAACTGGAAAAAAACAATTCAGAATTAACAGGGTCGCTAAATACTGTTGGTATTTCTAAAAATACGAGCTGCAGCTTTGGAGTCATAGGACCCCCTGTAAGAAATGACTAGCATTTAAAACCAACCAACACTCCCCAGCCAGCAATGGCAGCATTCCATTCAGTTAACTTCACTTTCTCCTCTAGAACTGTGGCTGGACCAGATGCTATCACAGCTGGCCACTTCCCAGTTTCTGTTGAATTCTTGAGGTATGATTATACTAAGTAGTTATGAAACATTTTTATTAGAAAACAAAGTATAGTTTAGAAAGCAACTAACTACTCAGGATGCCTACTTTTCCCTTCCTGAAAAAGTTACTCTGCCACTTGACTTTCAAATTTTATAGACACTTGATGCCATTTGTCAATTAAGGCAGAGGGCCTGTCTTTTCTTAAAGCAATCCCATCTTCCTGTACGAGTTTCTGCTACCCTATCAGGTGGCTGTCATTTACTTACTTGAAGGGTTCAGTCTGTGGGACCACATCCGTCACCCTTGCACCCCTTTGCCATTGACATGTCCGCCCAGCCCTCCCCTAAGTGAAACACGGTATGCGATATACAGACAGCACCACTGATACCAACCAGAACGCCCCTTTAATCAAAATTTGATTTCGGCGACTGAAGGCAATGGAAAATTGTGATACAATAAAGTGCTACTAAGCATTAGCTGTGGTTTAAGCAGGGCGCAGATCTCTGTACTATGTTTAAAGCTGGATGTGCATGGAATTTACAGTGATGAGGTGCAGAAAAATTTCCATTTCATACGTTCACAAGTAAAAACAAATGTTTTTGCAAAAAACAATTGCAAACTCAAGTATTAGTTGGGATTAATCTTTTTCAACTGATTATTGTTAAGCAAGTACGTAAGAGACTACATATATGTCATTGAAATATAACTATGTCTCAGAGAAATGCAATGAGTCATAAAGAAACTGTGGTTTGCAGCATATCGGGAAGTGTTTTTTGGGTTGCTAAGATTAATTTTGTCAATATTGTTAAGTACTAGTGGCAAGTATCTAAGGGCAACCAGCCACATGCAGCCAGTACCACTGAACCTGTTGTGCAAACAGCCCCACTGTAGAAGACAGTTCCACCAACCTACCCAGAAATCAGCTTCCACTCACTTCCATGCTTGTCCCTGCAAGCAAGGATTTGCCATTGCAAATCAATGTGCTGGGGGTTATTAGGGCAATGAATCTGGCAGAGCTGGCCCTCAGGAACGGAAGCAGCGGTGGGTCAGCCGGATGGGCAGGATTGGATTCCACCTATCCTATTCCTCCTGCCCCCTTAAATTTAAACTAGTACATGCTATTATAATTTTTACAAGTATTCCAATAAAAAATGTCTATGTAATGTCACGTGTAATTTACATTACATGTGCTTTAGTTTTCTCCCTCAAATATTTCAGATCAAATACCTGTGTATTGGGACAAAATAAAATTGACATGCAACATTTTAAAATGTCTTTCTATTTACTACATGCAGTAAAATAAACATACTAAATTTTATCACTCTAGTCTAGGGCATTAGAAAATGTTCTAATGCAAATAGATTTTTTTTCCTGATACAAATAACATTATCTGCACAGGATTTTTCAGTTCAGAATTTTCTGGAGACCCACATCACTGGGAATTGACACATCAGCTGCGAGGAAGTATACAAATACAACTAAAGATTAGGAAGTACCTCTCCTGCACTGGCTCAGAATGGTAGATCAAGAGCATTGCCCTCTTGTATAAGCTATTATAAAGTCCTGAAGTAGAGTAGAAATAGAAGTATTTCCAGGTACAGGAGCCAGCCCTGTATTGAACTATGCAATATACTGGAAGATTAGAAACTTGCTCAAGCTGCAAAGGATTAAACAGTTCCAAACTCATAGCAGTGTCAAAATTCCAACATTTTGCTTAATACATACATAATCGATTCAAAAATAGGAAAAATATATCCATGCCTGGATATGTTAAAACACAATTCCATTTAGAAAGTGTGTTAAAATAAACAGAAGAGATGAACCATTAGTTTCCCATTATTTATCAAATTAATGTTAATTTGACTTTATATTATCAGTAGACAGTCACTTTTCTAACAATAACAACACTGACATGATCAGAAGGGCAGAATGAATTCCTTTGGCAATTAATCTCATACCTGTCTTGATGAGTTCATTTGGTATAAATAGGAGTACTCTTAGAATTGCCACTGCAATAATGAATGGTCCTTTAAACAAAGCAGTTGTTTACACAAACACAGACCCAGATTGTAAAAGTTCAGTTTTTATGTAGTACCTGGTTTCTGGAGGGAGTCGTATAACAGTACCTTATTAACTGCTATGATGCACCTGTTTCCTAATCCAGCTTCAGAGTGTATTAGGAGGAGTCGTTTGCCATCTACAGCAATACTTGGTTTACGGTCGCTGAAGCAGCTTGCTCTTGCTGCCATCCTGTTCACTGAGTTTGAAGTGGGTGTAAGCTAAAATGCCAAACAAAGTGCAAGTAATTCCAAGGCCTTGATTAATTGACAAAGGATCCTTAAATAAGAGGTACCCTCCCATGAGGGTGATGCAGAATTTGAAGTGTCCAAACATATTGTAGCTATGAAGTTCTGTTAAGGAGCATTTATCTACCATACATGGCCAAACATAAAACATACTTAGTTATGAAAGCAAGGATGTCTGACTACTTAAATCTCACTGCAGTCAATGAGCGTTAACCTTTTCCAGGACCTGGAAGAGTCACTGTGCAGTACTGGTTTGACAGTGCTGCACTGGGTCCTGGGAGATCTGGATTCAAGTCCCTGGCTTGCTGTGGATGACACTGGGCCAGTGATTGACTCACAGCCCAACCTCCCTCACAGGATTGTTGAAAGGATGAAGTGGAAGATGATGATGATTATGGTCCTTGCAAGAAAAAAAGGCAGGATATAAATGTAATACACAAAAATAACACGACTGCGTCTGTGGGTGTATTTCACTATCCCCAGCCACTTCCCAATGTATCCTGGAGTGACAAAATGCCCCATAGCCGGAAATGGGTCTGTGGTTTCGGCAAGAGGTTTTGAACTCTCCCCCTAAGTAGCATCATTTGGGTGTGAAAGTGCCTTGCAGAATATCCCCCAAAACACCATTACATCTGTTATCACAGAATGGAAAGAATATGGCTCAGGCATGAGTCTACCCAGAGAAGGCTATGTACCAAAGCTCAGTGACTGAATAAGGATTGCACTAGTCAGAGTCAATAGTAACTCTGAGGGAACTGGGAGCTGCTGAGAGGAAAGAAAATGTCCATGTGACAACTATCACCTGGATGCTCACCTTTATGGAGCAAGATGACAGTTGAAATAAGCCCATTTGGAGTTTGCAAAAAGGCTCGTGGGGAACACAACCAATGTGTGGGGAAAGCCTGCTTGGTCTGATAGGACCAAAATAGAACTTTCTGGTCTTGATGCAGAACACCATGTATGGTGCAAAGGCAACAGGGCTCATCGCCCTGAGAACACATCTCCATGGCAAAGCATGGCGATGGGTTGCTTTTCTCAGCAAGGACTAGGAAACTGCTTAAGACTGAGGGTAAGATGGATGGAGACAAGTGCACAACAATGTAAGAGGGAAACCTGTTTCAGCCTGCAAAAATCCAGGAGCTGATCTGAAAGTTCACTTTTCAACAGGACAATGGCCCTTGGCACACAGCTGAATTAACACTGGAATGGTTTAAAAATGAGAACCTGGATATTGTAGAATGGTCCAGTCAAAGCCCAGACCTCCATCTGATTGAGAATCTGTGCCAAGACTTAACAGTTGCTGTTCCCCAATGGTCCCCATCTAACCTGACAGAGTTAAAGGAATTTCGCCAGAAAAACTGGGCAAACATAGCAGGATCCAGATGTGCAAACCTGAGTCTTACTCAAGCAAACTCACAACTGCTGCTCTCAGGCACTTCCACCAAGTATGGATTCAAAAGGTGAATACTTAATGCAACCAACAAGTGCTGGTTTGTTTTTGTTTACAAGCATTTGCACCTGCACAATGTCTTGTGTACCTCAAGTGGTAACAAAGACATTTAAATCCATGTTACTTTCAGGTTGTGACACAACCAAATGCAGAAAATTCAAAGGGAACAACTACTTCTGCAAAGCGCTGTACAGTGGGAATACCACGACGAGAATCTGTGACCGACACACATGAACCAAGTGATTGTTTTTCCAGATCTGTATCCAGGACAATGCTAATTATTTTTTCTTATTCCAAAGCCTTGAATTTGCAAGAGCTGAGCAGAGCTGTCATGGATAGGACATTTTAGGGGGTTCTCATTCATAGGGTCACCTTAAGTCAGAGACATCTTGATGGCACATACCCATTTTTAGTTACTTTACTACAGCTATTAGTCTGAACACTTCAGAAATATTTGTGCTGACTGAAAGTGAGAAAATGAGAGGAAAAAGGATACGTGACCGGTGATGTATTCCCAATGATCCAGTAAATGGACAAGTTCACCATAAAGGCTATTATTCCAGAGAGCAGCACCATAAACTGTGGGGTAATAAAACAGAAAAAAAAGAGTACTCGAATGCATTTCAGGGTGTCGCAGCTTTAAAAATGCTGACCTGCTGTGGCACTGGGCAGCAGAACAAAGTGAGCTGGCCCTCTAACAAGCAAATGCCCCTGCGCCCAACCTGGTTTTCGGAACATACTTCATGTGGTATAAGCCTTTGCTAAGGGGGCCTGGATGCTCTCCCAGCCTAGTGTGTGTGTCCTCCACTTTTGCCTTCCCCAACATGCCACAGCAGCATGAGCAGTCACCACCTGAAAGCAAACTGACTGCACCTGGAAGCACTGCAGGAATTCTGGCAGGGCCTATGCCAAGGCTGCTTCTGCTGTGACATCAGCGCTGTGGGTCTCGCTGCCCCAGAAGAGCCACCTGGCTCCCTGGATGACAGTGCTTGGATACCAGTAGAAAAGTTTCGTTCCAGCAGGATTTTGCCTTGTCTAGAGTGTGAGATTATTGTGACTCATTTCCTGTCCTTGTTACAATTTTATCTATTGTTCATCCTGTCCATGTTTATGCTTTGTTTTCAACTGGAGTGTTCTAAAATGCTGGTGTTAATTGTCTTGAACATTTTAACTGCAAGTAGAAAAAGATGGATACATATGTTTCAGTAAAATAATTTGTATTTCAAGCTGAGAGTTGTTTTTTTAATGGGTCTACATGACCTCACTTGGTCTCTCTGAAACATCAGCTCCCTGGAAAAGATTAAATGCAATCAACAGACTGGTCTTATGGTAGTGGGTGGCATGCAGCCGAATCTTAAGCCTGCATATTCAGAAATTCCCATTCTATTCAGTGGGGCTTACTCCCAGGTTATTCTGCATAAGATTATAGCATGAAACTAAGGCAGCATTTAAGAAGTCCTAGGCACAGGCAGGAAACTTGTGGCCCTCCAGAAGTTTGGGCCTGCAACTGCCAATGGCTACACTGGCTAGGTTGATAGAAGTTGCAGGCCAAAATATCTGGAGGGCTACAGGCTGTTCCCCAGCACTAGGGCCAAGTGTAGAACACAATGGAATCAAAGAGCCTCTGGCATTTACTTTTAAGATGTCAAGTGGTGAGAACTGCCTGAACTTATTCTTTAGTTACATTTATATTCTGCCTTTCTTTGATAGAACTTAAACTGGTATGGAAAGGGTTCTGTCCCATCAAGGCGCTGACCAGACCATGACTGGCTCAGCAAGCTTGCGCTGTCAGGCCAATCTTTGAAGAACTGCAGTAAGCAATTCCAGCCATCACTTGCTAGGCTAATTTTCTCAGAACATCCCATAGGTCTTAGCCTTAGATTCCTTAGTTAGTCGGGTTCCCTTCATGTAATTTTGCATGTTTCCTACAGTCTGATGCCCCGCAAAACCCAGTGGTCAATAAATTAACTTCTTCATATATTAATTAATTTTGCTCAAAACATGCTAGCCGATATGAACAGTGCTTCTAAATTTTGATTTATTTGGCTGAGGAGTTTGCACGCACAGTGCCACAATTTTCATAATGCTACTCAAGTACATGTGCCAAATTTTAAAAGGATATAAATACAACTGAGAACAAAATAACCAAAAACAAACCAAAAATGCCTTACCACAGCAGAAAGGCTCCAGGGCCCGAAAATCCCACCTTCCCCAAATACGGGTTCAAAGAAGGGTACGACACACAACAGCATTCCACAAGACATCGGGGCTTGATAGTACAGCAACTGCATAGAGTTCACCTGCAGCTCATGTTGCTTTGCTCCAACCCACTGAAATCAAACATCAATCCCTTGTGACATCCAGCTTATATACAAAAGACAGTTACATGTAATTTTAATGCCTTCTATTAAGTTATTGAGTTGGTATGTTTTTTAATCAAATTCTGTGCAACACAAAACACCAAAGTCTCGTTTGTCCAAATTACCTGGGACGACAAGTCTGGATAAATGCATCTTCTTCTTGCAGACTTACACATGTCATTAAAAACCTCTGTGATCTAGCTATGAAAGGGCTAAGTTTGGTTCCAGGTGGACTGATTTGAATCACCAAGGAAAACTGGCGATTTAAACCATGGATTCAAATCATTTCCTGAACAGGCATGCATAGGAACTGGCTACTAAAACAATCACAAAGTGGGACTTACCTCTAAGAAAACATGAGTAAAACTGGGCCCCGTCTATTCAGTGTTTCACAACAACATGGAAAGTAAATATCCATGCTCGGCTAGTACAATCATAAATAATCATAGTAAGAAGGACATTGCAGAGCTCAGAGAGTTGGAGGCTATTAAAAAGGCTATATGGGCTTTATGGATGATTCTAGCAATGTACAAAATGGCATTTCCTATATCAAATGAGTGGAAAGTAGATCTCC